TCCCTGGGAACTTCTTGAGGATTTCGGATTCCGGCATCGAGAGAAGGTTCTTCAAAGACGTCCTGCGAACCAAATATATCGATTTTGCTCCATATCTCTCCGAACTCGAGCTCCGGCTCTTCCCCGGTGCAAGTGTCATAAAGGCCAAATTCGAACCCTGGGCAGCGCCCCCAGATCCGGAAGGCCTCGTTGCTCCGATCTCTCTAGATGCGTGTGCCTCAATATTGGAAAGAATGCACGCGCGAATAATCTCATTCACATATCAGTATGATCGTTTGGTAGAGTTCGGGCCGCACCGTCCCGAAATGGATTTTGGATTGAGTTTCCGGAACGAGCGCGGCGCACTGCTCACCGTTTGTACAGACAATCGGCTCGGTCCGATTGCAAGAAATGCTTCAGTGACTGCACACTGCAGTCGGACCATGACTTTTTCGAAAGCCCGGTCGTCGCCGACATGACGTGAGCGTTTCCTTGGCAGTGTCTGTTGTCACCTTCGCCGTCGTGTTCCATGCCCAGCGAATGGCCCATTTCGTGTGCGATTATGTGCGCACTCTGCAAATCTCGGCCTTGGAGGATAGCGCACGAATGCAGCTCGTTGCACATGCCAGCGACCGCTGTCATACCGACAACATCGTTCATCCTCTCGCCCCGTTTGTTCCGAGCGTACATACTCATCGCTGCAACGAGCTCGGTTAATCGTCTTTGACTAGAATGCAATATCATAAAGAAATTCCGGTGTCTCAGTTGCTCAGAGATACCTTCTGCTCACTGCCTACCAGAGATCAGAACCGCGTAGTCCCAATGCGAGTAACTCGACTCTAAGCTATTCCGTCTAGCTTGCTGATAAATGCAGAAAGCGGTCAGATAATAATCGAAGTCTTCATTCGACGGGAGATCCTTGTAGGGAATCGAATAAAATACCATCAGATTAGAAAAGTCTCCGAACATAGAGCAAAATCATCCCTCATTATGCAATTGATGATTATAATTGACATCATGGTGCATCGTGTTAAATTTAAGTTCGGCCCCCTCAGGAGAGCATCGCTCCGAGAATGATGACGGAAACGAATCAGGTGGTCCCTCCTTGCCGTCAGACTTACTTTGGGCTGCGGATACATTATTTCGAGGTACGTCAAGGTGATGCCGACCATTCCCTTGAGGGGTTCCTGCTCGTAGGCTATTTGCAGTTGATTGATCAGCGTTAGGGCGAATATGTGGACGTTCTTGCGGGGATCGTTCGGAAACATTCTCCCGATGTGTTCGTATAGGCTTTCGTCAACGAAGAAAGCTGATTCCACTAGGGCGGTCCGAGATCTGGGCCGATACTGTCCGCTTCGGTCCTTCGAATTGCTCAAAATCTGTTGACCATGAATCCGTGGCTTGCGGGGAACTCGGAAGTCTGGCGCCGATGTTCGAAGCAGGACCCTATCCGAGGCGTCTGAAAAGATGAAGGATGATTTTCCGAACTCTATTCTAGCCATCAGGCATCCGTTTCGGGAATGGAGAAATTCCTGAGAGTTTTACCTCGGGGCACGAAGCGGAGATACGAGTCGTGATCCGATCGGAGAACGACGTGCGCATCCGGAACGCTTCCCGAATCCTCGGGCAGCGATGAGACTGCAAGAGACTCGGACAGAGCGACGAAACTCTTTGGGTAATCAGCGACCTTCCCCGTGTAGTAGCATTTCGTGTCGATTCCATAAGCAGAATCCTCGCCGCCAATCAGGAACCTCCTCGACACGAGTTTTTGACGTGAAAACGTCTTTAAAATCGCTTGGGTAGCCAGACGAATAAACTTCGTCCTCCATGCAACGAAATCTCCTGGCTTTTTGCGGCGCTAGAACTCCGTTGATACGCGGCGCCGCTGCACCGGCCGAGTGAGGAAAGAATGGAAATTCACGGGAGATCTTTCAGGTCCAGCTGGGATTTAGCTGAGGCAGGTTAGCTAAGGGTTTCCGACGCCGATTCCTGCATACCCTCGAAAAGTTCAAGATTCAAGCATGAATAGACTATTTTAAGACGAACGATGAGATATTTCGTGTCAACGAGCCGTATAGTGGTTGCTCAGAATGTCATCTACCGAGGGCGTTCACGCTAATTGAGCGAAGTCGTCAGACGAGGTGAAAAATCTGACTCAAAGAACGATCTTCGAAGGAACCGAAAGCTCAGTCGAGATTATTGACTATAACGAAGTGCCATCTAGAGGTTCCGTGGATCTCTAACTTTTGAGGTCATCGATTTGATCATGAGACCAAAGACCCGCAGCGTCCAGGCGCGGAAGCGGGAAGCTCTCAAGAGGGGGACCGATCCAGACCGTACCGCGAAACGGCCGAGAACATCTACAGAACGATCGCGGGCACGACGAGCTCGTCTTCGAGGTGCCGTAGAAAACCGCGAAGTTACAGGATGGCGAATTCCCTGAGTGATACTTTCACCGATGAGGACACTAGCGTTTCCAAAGTGTGTAACAATTGTTTCAAAGTTTGTAGAACATGTAAGATCCCACCAATTAGCAAGAGTAATGGGTTCAGGTATCCGCCGAAGCCGACACATTTACCAAAATTAGATCCCTTAACCGAACGTCTTGTCCCCCCGCGCATCCCTTTCATGCAGATTCGACGCCTGCGCCGCGATGGCTGTTATGGCATCGTCGGTCAAGTTATCAACGTACCCGTCGACGTTGAAACCATGGTACAATTACTGCCTTGGTCTCTCGATGATGACTTTGCCTTCAACGTAAATCTTAAGAAAAATATCATACACAAGTCTTCGTATCTGAGTGGATTCGAGAAGAAATCAGTTGTCAAAGCTTGGCTCGAATTTCTAGTAGATCAGCTCTTATACAAACATTAAGGCATAACTATCGATTTCGAAGGAACAACGAATTCTCTTCCCAGTGAGGAGTCTGTGGACGCCTCCGATGATGGCATAGAGATTATTGATTCGACTACGGAGTCGGATTCGGCGATGCGAAACGCGCCACAGCACACAATGATCTGGAATGAGGATCACTGTTTGGACATTGCTCCCGGTCAGCATAGAGCGCCAGAGGGCCTTCTGCATGACACCTACGCAGAGGACTTGTCCTTCCCTGCAATTTATTACGGGGTCGATCGCAGAATCGCACCCAGTGATGGCGCGAGAGTACGATCAACTGCATATACTATGTGTATGTCCGAAATTCGGAGGAAAGATAGACGCGGAGTCTCACCGCAACATGTCTTGTACATGGCCATGAAAATACTGCGCCTCCGGGTCAGGGATGGCATACAAAATATGTACCGGTGTTTGAGACCCACAGAAAGTGTGACTCGCAAAATGATCGAGGATCGTGATTTCGTCCAACGGTTGATCGAAACGAACCAAGCCTTTCTCAGAATGATTCCTAATTCCGTTCAATATTGGTCGAACAGAAAAAGAGATTTATTCGCTATGATACGTCAAC